GAACTAGTCCAGACGATGAAGAAGACCAAGATTGGAACTGCACCGGGGCTTGACGGAATTCCGAACGCGATCCTGAGGATAGTTGTAAAAGAATACCCAGAATGCTTTTTAAAGGCCGTTAACCAGTGTCTTGAACAAGGGAAGTTCTATTAGGGTTGGAATCATCAGAAGCTAATTCTCATGCGGAAAGCCAGTCGATCGGACGTCATCGTTCAAACCTTTGTGCCTGCTGAATACGATGAGAAAATTACTGGAGGGTTTCCTCCTTCTACGACTAAAGAGACATGTCCAATTTTCAACGAGACAGTTTGTATTTAGAAAGGGACTCTCGACAATAGACGCGATCTCAGAAGCAGTCCACCATGCAGAATCAGCAAAAAGGAATAAGAGTTTTTGTGCCTTGGTTGCGATTGACATCAAAAATGCCTTTAATTCTGCCAGCTGGAAAGACATTATACAAGCCCTAGAAGCTAGAAAGATCCCTGAATACCTTGTGAGAATCCTGGAGGACTACCTCAGTGAGAGGAAAATAATCTACACTAACGGGTATAGGATTGAGGAAGACATGACCTGCGGTGTGGAAGCTTCGGACCCCATATTATTAAATCAGCAGGAAAAGCTGCAAAGACTGGATCAAATTTCTCCAGATGTTGAACTCAGGAGGTCCCAGCGAAAGCAAAAGAAGGTTAATTTCTGTCGTAGTACACTCAAAAATGCTGTATGCCGCCCCATTGTGGGCAGATGCGCTAACTAGAGAGTCCATTCGACGGAAATTCACACAGATCCAGAGAAGGATGGCTCTAAGGATAATCTCAGGATATCGCACGGTATCCGACAGTGCAGCCTTAGTACTGGCCAGTGTCCCCCCAGTGGACCTTTTAGCCCAGGAAAGGAGGACAATGTACCTGATGACAACAACAGACAAACAACAAACCCTGCCACAAAGAAAACTAGACAGTATCAAAGCGGAATTGAGAAACGATCTCCTGAAACAGTGGCAAAACCGATGGGACCTGGAGTACAAAGGAATATGGACACACAGCCTCGTCCCTAACATCAAGGATTGGACCAGTAGGAACCATGGCACAATGGACTTCTACTTGACGCAAGCCTTCTCAGGGCATGGCAACTTTCAAGCATATCTATACAGATGTAAAATCGCTGAAAGCCCGATATGCGCACTATGTCATGAAGAAGACAACGCTATGCACACCATATATAGTTGCAAAGCTTGGGAGGAAGAAAGAAGAGACTGCTACCGCAAATTGCGACGGGAATTAACGCCTGCAAACACGGCCCAGACTATGCTGCAGTCCAGAGACAACTGGAAAAGTGCGAGACTTCGTGGCTCATTTACTAAAACAGAAAGCCACTACTCAAAGCAGAGTGAGCTAAAATACCATAGCGACCATCTGAAGAGGAATTCCTCATGCTCTCAGCCAATCTTCTGCGTGAAGTAATGTCTCAAAGACGGTCCCGCGCTGATGCCACGGCCCATGTAAATTGAGGAGGTTATGTTTAAGTCGGTATGCCACGCTGGCCAAGAGTCCGACATAACCGGACTTACCGGTATGCGTAACGCATTCCCCCCTCCTCGGCAATAATAATAATAATAATAATAATAATAATAATAATAATAATAATAATAATAATAATAATAGTAATAATAGTAATAATAGTAATAATAGTAATAATAGTAATAATAGTTATAATAGTAATAATAATAGTAATAATAATAGTAATAATAATAATAATAATAACAATAATAATAATAATAACAACAATAATAATAATAACAATAATAACAATAAATCTGTCACATAAATACAGCATACACCAAGTATGACAAGTCAGGATGTGTACACAACACAGATATTTCTAAAATTTAAATACAATACATAAATTAAATTTAAAAATCAATTCTCGTATTAAATACAATATCATGGAAAGCTATAATATAAATTAATATTAATTTTATAATGGTAGTGCAAGAAGACTTCGGTTAAGAATCAATAATAATAAAAAAAGAAATTCCACATAGGTTTGTTCCTAGGCTGGGTCTGTCCTTTATATCCAATAACCAGTTTAGGCGGTTTGAAAACATGCAACATAAAAAGCAAAAATTATTAGAACTAGTTTATATTGATGTAGATATTCTTCTGTACTGTTGAATGTGTGGTTTAACAGGAAAGCTTTCAGTTTATTTTTGAATGGGTGTAACGAGTTTAAGCTTTTAAATTCTCTAGGAAGTTTATTATATAGTGTAATACTTTCTGTAAGGGTACGTTTTTGAAAAAGTGAAGTTTCACTGTGTAGAACATGCAGATTTCTTTTTTGTGTCGTATCATAGTTATGAACTTCAGTGTTCAGAGAAACAGAATCCTTTTTTCCCATAAGTGTCTTCTTTCTGAAGATTAATATTTCAAATATGTACATGCATGGGAGTGGCAGTATTTGTAATTTTTTGAACAGTGGTTTGCATGACTCATGCTTGTGAGTGTTTGTCGTTGTTCTCAATTTTCGCTTTTGGATGATGAAAGTGTGAATACTTTCTGAGGAATTTCCCTAAAATATTATTCTGTATTTTAGGTGCAAGTGAACATTTGCAAAGTACACCATTCGCAGCGTATCTAAGTTAGAATTTGCCTTCAGGATGTATATGGCATAACATGATGTGGTAAGCTTGTTGTTTAAATTTGTGATATGGGAGTTCCATTTTAGATCATCTTGATTAGTCAATCCAAGGAAAGTTGTTTTTGGACTATTTTTACAGGCATGTTTTTTATCATCAATTGTGCTTCTTTAGAGAGTGGATTCCGAAAGTTTAGGTAGACAGTTTTACTAGTGTTTATGATGAGTAAAGTTTCCTGGAACCATTTTACTAGCGCCTCTAGGACGGTTGGTGCTTGTTTTTGTAGAGTTTGTGGGGTACGTGCTTTAATAATAATGTTTGTGTCATCTACAAATAGGACCATTTTGCTCTTTTGTAGAGTCAGGGGCATGTCCTTGATGTATAATAGAAATAGTATGGGCCCTAGGATTGATCATTGTGGCACTCCATAATTTATCATTCTAGGTTGGGAAAAATGGGAAGAAATCCTTTTACTCTGATGCTTGATTGTGACTACTTTACAATGATTTGAGAGGTAAGATTTAACCCATTGATGTGCAATGCCTCTAATTCCCAAAGTTTCAAGTTTGGATAACAGTATGTGATGGTCAATAATATTGAATGCCTTTGATAGATCTAGAAACAAACTAATGGGGATTTCTTTCTGATCTAGAGCAACAAATATGTCATTTAGAAAGGTGAAGATTGCTGTGACTGTAGATGTACCATTTCTGAATCCATGTTGGGCTCTGTCAGTATGTTATTTGAATTGAGAAAATCTTTGAGTCTATCATTAAAAAGCTTTTCTAGAATTTTTGAGAAACCAGATAGTAAGGATATCGGTCTGTAATTCATAAGATCGTGAGTGTTGCCTTTTTTAAATAGTGGTTTAACTTTTGCTTTTTTGAGAATTTCTGGGAAGATACCTGTCATTAAGAAGTGGTTACAAATGTGAGTGAGTGGTTCTATTATGTTTGTTGCAGTCTGTTTAATGAGGGTGTCAGTGATATTATCCAGTCATGTAGAGAATTTGTTAATTCTTTGATTTATGCTTTTTTGTATTTCTGCAGGTGGTGTTTCACAGATATATATGGAGTTTACATTTGTTGATGTGTGGATATTTGACTGCATAATTGTATTATTTAAGGAGTTGTCATGAATTAATTTTTCTCTAATTTCTGAGAAATGTCTATTGAATGTGTTTGCTACTGCTTGTGTGTTGCGCAGAACATTATTTTTGTATTGAAGTTCAAGGTTCTTAGTGTTTCTGTTTTTTGTTTTTAGAGTATTTTTCACAATGTTCTACATTGCTTTTGTTTCGTTTTGTGCTTTGGCAATACATGGATCATTCATTAACAGTTTGGCCTGTTTAATTACTTTCTTCAAGATACTTTTGTATGTTTTGTAATAAGTAATGAAATCAAAGCGACATTAGTGCTGAAGGATTGTTTCATGCATGATTCGTTTCCTTTCATATGATGTTTTGATTCCTTTTGTTATCCATGATTTGTGGTTTTTGCTTTTTATTTTTTTTCAGTGTTTGTGAGAAAACACTGTTGAAATAATTTTGGAATCTGTTTATGAATAAGTTAAATTTGATGACAAACAGTTTATATTAAAATCACCACATCATATAATTTTATAGTTCCTGCGACATTTCAGTTTGACAAGAACAATTTCAAGATTTTTTAAGAAAACCTTTGTGTTTCCTGCGGGGCTGTGGTTTGTACATAAAATCCATACTCTTTGTTTTGGTAAGTCTATAATAGATATTTCAAAGTCTTTATCTCTTGAGGGAGAGGAGTAATCTGTGTATTTAACCTTTCAACAGTTATTACAGGATCAAGTTGTTGTGAAGATCATGAAACATAGTAACCAATAAATAGAACTATAGCAAATTTCCTTAAGTCATTTGCCACATCTTTAAACTGTCTCTCCAAGTCAAATCAACATGCTGTTGTTATTAAGTTGTTGTCATCAGCATTGTCATTATTACTTATGGTAGTAACAGACAATAAAACAGAACAGAGAAAAAATATGTTTATTCTGATCACCAAGTACAATTTGTCTTAACATAAGAATCAAATTTTATTTGAATTTAATCATACAAATAGATTAAAAGTGGATTCAAAAATTCCACAATACACATTTTACAACCTGTAAGGTATAAACACAACACATGTCATATGATTAATACAATGGCAAATTACTCAAAATCTTTACGCAAATAAACGAAAAAGTTATATCCACTAACAATACAGAATAAATGAACAGTTTCAGAAGAAATAACTCTTTGATAATAGTTTATGTAATTGTGTATATAATAAGAAAAGGCAAGTAGTTTCAAGTAAAAAGAACATTTTTAAATGAAGTACTTCAATAATTCTCATTTGTGATCATACGAATTCCATAAAAGAGCAAACTTTTCTTTAATTGCTGATGATTCCTGGAATATGTTGCTAGGGTCTAATTTTGAAATTTCCTCAACCTGCTCTTCTTCAGACAGACCTAGAATTCTGGTCATACATGGCTGTACATAAAGCATTATCCATGCTGACATATCAAATACTAACTTTGACAGGGCTTTAATTTGAACTGTGTGGTTCCATTCCCCTGCAATATATTCAATCTTCATTACACTGACAATCAAAGAATCTTTTGTCATTATATTTAAAAACAAATTGGCAATTCTGGCATCCCAATGAAATGGCCACTTAGTAATGTTCCATAAATGACATTTTACTGCCATTGCTGGGATGAACGATAAATTATCATTCATCATATATAAATTGTCAGGAAGAAAAAAATTCATGTCTCCATTATCAATATTTCGTGCTATAGCATATTCTCTCCCAGACAGTGTTTTAAAGCCTATAATTTCCACACGGCAGAAATCATTCTTCACCTTGCCAATGGCAAATGTACCCACATCTGGTTTTCTAGGAAACAATCTCAAGTTTGGAAAATTCATAGCTAGTGTAACCCTCATATCTTCCATTTCTTTCCTGCTTACATGGCTGAGGTAGAAATTCCATGGATGAATTCCACTTATGAAGTACATTTTAGCACAAAGACCCTGATTTAAACAACATTGTACTTTAGCAGTCTTCTGGGTACTATTTGGTGTTATATTATATGTCATATTGGCAATCATTTCAGAACATAAACACATTTTTGCATTGATTCCTTGTGATTCTGACACTTCAGTTGTAGCTCTTTTAGCCTGAATTTGACATTCTTGAGGTTCACAACTTTCAACACTATTGGTATTCTGACTATAGCATGGATCTGAGTTTTTCAAAAAGTTTTCTTTCTTTTCATGATCACTTTTAAGGTGATTATTTTTTTTCATGATAGGAGCAACATTTGTGTTGATCCATGAGGATATGTTAATTTCCATTGTGTTGTTATCACGGGCATTTATATCAACTAAAAAGACAGGTATAATTCCAGGAATTATATCAATGATCGTGACAAGAAGAATGCATTTCTTGGCCCACTTTTTGAATAAATTATTCATGAATTTCGGCCAATTTTTCATGTTTCGGAGTTTGTACAGTTTACATTGTATAGCTTGAGGGGGAATATTAAAACCAGTGTCGCTATTCCATATGTTGTTTCGTTTCACAACCTTTACTATTCCCTTATCAATATCAAGGGCAGTGATTTTAGAATCTTGAAATCTTAGAACTTGGCCTCGAAAACTTCCATTGAGTTTTCCAATGAAAAGCTCACCTTCTTCAGGAATTTTATCTATAGTCCAAAATTTGTTTTCAATCTGCTTACTTTGAAAGTCATTCAAAAATGCTTCCAGTTCTTTGTTAACTGAAGGATACTTCAACCAGAAATTAAATGGGTTTTCTCCCCTTAGATACTTCATTACAAGTTCTTTACCTCTAAATAACCTATAAAATTTCCAAGTCTGTAGAACTTTATTTGGCTGGAAGGTGACCATGGCTTTATCATAACATTTTTCAGACATGGTTTTGTCCTTTTGTTCATTCAATGATAACTGCTCATCACAACTCACAGAACTAGAAAAACATTTATTTTCTTCTTTGTTCTTTTCTTTTATTGCTTTGAAATTCCTCATACAATCATTTACTCTTGTATTTATTTTCAGTTGAGTGTCCATTTTTTCTGTACGAGTATCTAAAACAAGAAAAAAGAGGAATGTTTTATGATACTTAAAATAGTAGTAATCATTCCAAAATTGTAATGTCATCAGTCACTCATAAATCTTAAACTGATATCTATTATATTTTAATAAGAAAAGTATTAATGTAACACTTTAATACCCACAACACAAAATACCCACAACAAAATTCTACAAATTTTGATATCTTCAAGTAATCAGATTATTTAATTCAAGAAATAAAAATGTAGGACTCTCTATAAATGTATTTGATTTCATGGTGTATAACATTTATCATACTTTAATGACCCTCAGTATCACTAGTTGTTAACATATCAGTATGTCATACAGAAAAATACATTTCAGCAAATAATATTAGTAGGCAAACATATATTGCAACCTTAATTAAAAAGTAGCCTTTCCTTACATGTCTAATAGTATTCTAACACTTCGATATTTTACCCTTGCCAGGAATAAAGAAGATGAATCATGAGAATGTGGATTAAGTTAACAAAATTACAATTAGTAATGCTTACTTCACAAAAAGACTTTATGTCAAAAAAGTATATAATTGGAGCTTCTTTTAAATGAAATTGAAAACTTCTGATCCAAAAGCACTCATATAATTCATTAAATAAAGGTGAATAATACTTTGTTTTACAAAGTATGGCAATTGATGCGCAATTTTGTTTCCTCCTTAACCCTTATATTTTGGAAATTGCCAATTTAGAAGGGTAGCCAACATTTAATCATAATCATAATAATAATATAATAATATTAAATTTAGTTGTAAAAAAAATATAACGAGTCTTTTACTTTGGTATTACTTTATATCATCATATATTCTTATATAAATAAATAGCATATTTACATTAATTTGTACATGTTTACAATTACTTACATACATTCACATTCTCACACGTCTCTTCACATTGGAAATATATTTAGTTTTATAATCATGAGATTTTATATATTTCATACATCATTCTTGACAATACATAATATTAAATATTACGTTATGCATAAATATACATAAATAATGTGCATTTGTGTAAGAAGTATAATATTACAGTAAAATAAAAGAAATACATTTATTATTATAAATCTTATATTTTGTTATTAAGGCCCTCTGTTAGTATTAACATATTATAAGAAACTGAAATTTAGCAAACAATTATTTCAAATTATTACATTTGATAGTAACTGATGTTATTAAAGAAATGGTTAGTGATGGCCAATTTGTTACGGTCTTCTTCAGGACATTAGAACTCTATTTACAAAATTTATGGATGAACACATCTGATAATTAATCTTCAATCAACAAAGTAAACTTGTTATTCATGTTCATTTACACTATGCTGAGGTGTTATTAGTTATATTCTAAATTAATGTTTACTCAATGTTGATATCAATTTTAAATTTCTGTCTTGATGAAGGCCACAACAGTTTGGGGAAAACATCGACAACCCTTGCATTTAATTACACCAGTTACTAGCAAATGTAATAAACTGCTAATGTGAAATAATTGTCAGACAAATTTGGTCACTTTCTTATAATATGTTATTATTATAAACTTTACGTTCAATTGTTTATTAAGATCTTGAGAGATCCGCTCTGTTCTTTTGTATTTCTAAGGGAGTATCCCTAAAACCTATTTAATCATTAAGAAGCTCATCATGCTGTAGTAAGACTTCTTTAGGGAAAACTCCTTAGTTTGTTTATTATTTTTTATAATATTAATATTATTTAAATTGTTGAGGAGCTTCTTATAGAGGCGTTGGCCTATGTAATATTATGGCCCATTTTTGGCAGAGAATTGTTGTAGAATAGATGTGTAGGGTAAATGATTTGATTGCCTGGTATTATGCTGGTGTATATTTATATTGCATTACTAAATATGATATTCCTTTAGTAGTTATCATTTTACAAAAAAATTCTTTGGTGTGTATGCAGGTTCAGTAATAAAATTTTGAAGTGATTTGAAGAGTGGCCTGCATGATTTAAGTCTGTCTTTACTATTGTTCTAACAATTATTTTTTCAATTTTCAGTGTCCTGCACGTTTTTGTGTGACCACAAAAATAAATATTGCACATTTCAAAATTGAGTGAACGTTTGCGAAGTACGGTACAACGTACGTACATTATCTGTAGAATTTTTTTGTGAGAATTTTTAGAGCACATTGTTTATGCCATCTCCTACTTACCGTTCTTCCTAGATAATGTTATAAATCATTCTATCACTTCCATTACATATCAATATTTACTGTATACTTCACTATAGAATGAACCGTAAAAGCTTTTGTTCATAAATATTTGATCACCGTAACACGTTCAGAAACACATTTTATGAACTCATTTATTGTCAAATTTAATTTCGTTTTATTAGCACAAGACGGGTGGGATAAAATAATGATTATTTAGAAAATAAAGTTTTTAAATAGTTTTACGTCAATTTTTCTATATTATGGTACTAATAACCTTGGGTAAGAAAAAAAGACACTTGACTCAAGTAGTAATACTTACTGTTGCGGGTCGTAATTTTATTTCTGTAGTTTCCCGATAAATTCCTGGACGTCATTAAAAAACTGAAATAATTATGATTATACGATAATTATAAATTCAAGTAAATAATTCCAGTTTTCTTTCACGTTGGTAGAACTTGCATTATTAAATAAGAAAAGCACGTGTCTTTCTTCGTCGACAAAATGGCTTCCCGAAAGCTACATTTCTCGTTTGCGAGATTTATGAGGCATGTTTCGTGTTCTTGACTCAATAAACAGAACTTTCAAAAAGGTTATTTTAACATTATTATCGTGTATGCTTAATATAATTTTCATTATTTTGGCAAGTTGCTTTTGTGTAAATTTTAAGCGACTTCAGCCCTTGATCTTGTGAAAAGTCAAAACTAAACATGGATTCATCTCTGAACAATATTGTTTTTATATGTCGTCAAAAACTGAAAAATTCAACACGTGACATGAGAGTGCTCATGACTCATGCTCAGAACTGAAGCACCGACGAGCGTGTCGAAGTTGAGCTTGTAATAGGAGGCAACTAAGGCACGAAGTAAAAATGAGTTCTGCGAGACGCCGTGAAAACGCGCGCGTCATGTGCGTATGTCAGCTCGTATTTTATAGCGGCCTATTCGTCGAAATGGCGAGCCGGTCTCCTTGAGAGTGAATGTGTGGCATTTCAACAGTGCCCGTCAGCAAATGTTGAGATGGCCCCTTGTTTTGCTTCTGAACATAAATGTAACTTCATTATCTGTGCACGTTTTCTAGAATTTAGTGGGAAATATAGTTATTCAAATTAGGGTTCTCCATGGTGTCGAAGCAGAAGTATATTCTTTTACAAATGACATGATGAATGACAAGTACCCAAATATACAGCTGATTTACCTTTGAAAACATATTTTATTACATCGGAGCGAATATTTTGTTAACAATTCTTGCCAAACACGCTCATTACTTTCTTTACTCAGAATTCAAATTTATATGGTTTATGGAAGGAATATCAGAATTAAGAAAACTTGCATGGAATACACATCTCCCCGTAGCACGTCACATAGTTTTTAACTGTTTCTGATTAAAATAAAATAAAATAAATAAAAGAACAACACGGAATCCTTCGCGTCAGAACGTGACCAGCGGAATACCGAAACATGAGAAGTTGCCTAACAATCAGGGGCAAATATCACATGTGAACCTTCGGTGGCGAGGGGGGGCATTTTTGCGTAGTCATCGTAATATGTGTAAAATAGCCAGGCACATCTCTCTGAAGCTACTGGGAAATGGGGTTTTCAATAAATATTTTGTGCGATGTTATGTCTTTTAAACACTAAAAACCGATCATTTTTCTTGTAAAAATTATCCACTTTTGTTACAATAAATATTCTCAACAAATTAAGCATGAATTGAAGTGGTAATTGCTGTAGAAGTCTTCGGTTTGTTGTTCCTATTATAAGACGAAATGTAAATTTGAGGTAGGAATGAAATTTGTGATGTGTAGGTAAGTTGAAATTAGTCGTATAGCGATCACTGTGATAAGAAATATTTTAATTTTTCATATTTTTACAGGCGTCTTTTATTGGTCTTCTCTTTAGTTGAAAAAAAAAGTTTTGACTATTACTTCCAGAGAGTCACTTGTGAACCTCTAGTGAACTAGACATGTAGTGCCTGATGAAAACCTAGTTTCTTTTGGTAAATTAAGATGTTAAATTTAATAACGCAGGATTGGATCGGACTTTCTGCACTTTCCTTCGAACATATGGGGACCAAATGTGTTTGTTTCAAGAGAACTACGGTAAAAAAAATTTCCCATAATGTACGGCAATTATAGAACCCTTAATTCACAACTAAACTCAGTAAAAACGCCAAAAAATCAGGGCGCGCTGGAAACACAAGTTCGTATATAGATAAAGTTCGAATGACGCGTTTCGGTAGGCAGGGCATCAAGCCATGGCCATCTAGATTTAAAATGTAGACGGCTGTGCATCAGCAGAATAGCCGAGATTCTCCGAAGGCAATGCTGACTAGCAGCACTTATCGCCACGCAAATGGATACGAACCTCTGCGGCAAGTTGAGTCATCGAGAGCGGGCAGCGAGCCCTCAGTTCGATAAGTAATATTAGCAATTCCTTTGGTATCTTCTTGCTTGCTTTATGACTATTTCTCGTTTTTTCGTAACTAGCATTCTTTAAATTAGATTATGTATTGATTAATTATCCAATTCTTGTTTTAAACATTTAAACCGCAATATTTTTTATTACGTTGCTTGGTCATTGCCGCATCTATCGATGACCGGACGTCTCACCAACGTGTAACTTCGTTAGGTGACATTTTCCATCACATAATCATTGGCAAAATTATTGTCTTAGATTCATATATATGCCTCTAAAGTTTGTAGCTTCTATTCTGAGACTTCCTGAATATTTATATATTTTGAGATGGAACTTCAAAATCGACAAAATATTTTCTAGGGTTAGGATTCTAACGCAGACTCGAAGGCTTCGCCAGCA